CATTGCATATATCTCTTAAAGTTCTTAACATTATTTCCTAAAGAATATTATACAGCATATACCATACTAATTTGAGCTGATATGAATATATAGTAAGCCACTTCACATCCTTTACGAATAGAATTAATTTCAAATAGATTCATTGAAGTAAATTAAGGTCAAAGTACTAGCTTAAATGAAATACAAAGTAAACCTCTTACCTTCACTTACGAACTTAACTTAGTTTAAATAGATACACTGAAGTAAAAAAAAATAAAATTACCACTGATATGATATATGAAATCAACCCCTACACTTTACTTATGAACTTAACTTAGCTAAAATAGATATATTAAAATAAACAAAAGTTCAAGTGCCAGCTTATATGAAACATAAAGGAAACTCCTTCACTCCGTTTACAAATTTAACTAAGTTGAAATAGTTATTTTGAAATAAACAAAAGTCAAAGTGTCAGCTTATATGAATTACATAGTATAAGCCCCTAAACTTAACTTACAAACTTAACTCAGTTCAAATAGATATATTAAAGTAAACAAGAATGGAAGTGCCAGTTTTTATGAAACATAAAGGAAACTCCTTCACTTCGCTTACAAATTTAATTGAGTTCAAATAGTTACTTTAAAATAAATGAAAGTGGAAGTGCCAGCTCATATGAATTACATAGTAAACCCCTAAACTTAAGGTATTAAAGTAAACGAAACTCAAAGTGCTAGCTTATATTACTAAAAAACCGAAAAACAAATACAAAATAGAATAGAAAATAGAATCGAAAAAAGTGCTCGCTAATTGTACTAAACATGCAAAATAAAGAAATTCTGTATAAACATTTTCAGTCTTAATATGATTGCAAATAAAACAGTTGTATGGAAAAAATTCCAAATGCTGTCCCTCAACAAAAACGCTACTATGTCCTTTGGGTTACGATAAAAACGGAATTGTTTTAACTCAGTCCTTCTCTCTATTTATTATTTATCTTCAAAAGATGTTTACTTTTTAACAAATTTCTGGCCGCCAAATATTATTTTCGTAGTCGACTTAGTCCTTGCTTGCATTTGACCTAGATTTTTGTGTCGAGTCTCATTCAATCTATTATCCGTTTTTGTATTTTGATTCGAAATTTAGTTTCAGTTTGTGTTTCTTTTTACATGTAGGTATTTGTTGTTGTCTTTGCTGTTGTTTTTGTTGTTGTTTTTGTAGCTGTTTTTGTACTATTTTGCATCATTAGTGTGAAAGCAATTTAATTTGCTTGTGAACTTCGCTGTGCCGAAAGTCATTAAATTTGTTTATTTTGTTTATTTATTTATTTTTTGCTTGCGCTGCGACATTGCATATCCTGCATATCCTTGCCAAGTTATTCTGCAATTTGCGGTGCTGAACGTATGTTGTTTATTTGTAAATAAATGTCGAGTAAGTATTTCAACTTCTGTGACGTTATGTGAGGGGAATTATGAAATTCATTTGATTTTTGGGTTATTAAAACCATTGACTGTGGTTTGAAATTTGGCAAAATTCCATATCGTTTATTTGACAAATAACTTTAGACCGAATTTTAATTGATTGAAACCAATAAAAACTCTGGTTTATGGAAACTCTGATTAAAGAAAATGATTGACAATAATTGAACACAACGTTTACTTAATATGGTTTTAGAAATTAAACTTTGTTATACACATACTCAGATTATAGTATCATAATTTATATATGAAATAGTAGAATAAATAAAATAAAAAATAAAATAATTTTATTTTCTTTTTTGCAGATGCTTCACCTGGTTGTAAAGCACCGAACATGCGGGTCACTGTTATTAAACCAGAATCGGGGACTGAGCGGCCTTATGCAAAATTTGAAACCACACCAGCCAATTTACCAGAAGACTTCACCACAGTGGATGTTGAATATGTTGAAAAAATAAATATTGACCTGACTTCCAACTCAGCGGCTAATGATAACAAAATGGCTGTAGTAAATCCATATAAAATTGATGTGGAGGGAGAAGAGCATACGACAGCTTTAATTTCTGAAGATACAGCCGCAATAGATGATGAAGAAGAGGATGATGTCACTGAAACGGAAGATACGGCACACAAACGTCTAAATCATAATCGAAAATATAATAAAAAACGACGCTCAGGTTCTAGTCGTCGACGTCGCATTGAAAATGAGAATGGTCAAAGCCGCGGTCGTGGCAGCCGTTATAAGCGACAAGTCATACATCATGACCCAGATGCTTCTCCCGAGACAGACAAATGGAGTGGCAGTAAGTTGGCAGCTGAAGGCGATGTCTACTATGTACACATTGAAGACATACTAAAATCCCAATCACCAAATGCAGAGTTGCGGTTAAAATTGCATAAATTAAAAAAGAAATCAAAGCAAACAAAATGCAGTGCGAATGAGAATAAAGAACAATGCAAGAAAGCGGCAGCGAAAAAGAAGAAGAAAAAGGTTAATGCAACTGATGTTGAGGGAAAACTCGCAACAAACAACAAGAAAACGCCAAAGACTATAAAACAAGAAAAACAAGAACAACAACATCATCGTAGACGTGGCGATAGTCATGAAGATAAACAGGAACGTGTACATGAACATCAGTTACAAAAACGCGATGTTAATCCAAGATGGCATAATACTGTTAGTTTCGACAATGACACACAGCAACCGCAACCCATTGATAATGGCTTTGAGGATGATGTAGATGAAATTACTGCCGATGCTGATGCCGATACCGCTGCCTCTGCCTCTGTCTCAGCCACAGATGTCGCTGATAATGCACTAAACGCTGAGATATTAAGTGCTGATAAAATTTACATCAACATGACGAGCGATGGCCTCCAACGCGTCAAACGCAAATCGGGTAAAACCACAGGCGCATTAAGTCGTCCGAAGGGTGGCGGTGATTCCAGTTCAAAGACCACTAGCCGTAAGGATAAGGGTAAGTAAAATATGTAAAAATATGAAAAAAATGTATGAAAGTATATAGCGTTTTTAAGTTTCCCTTACGTTTTGATGGACATAAATTTTATTACGTTTTCTCTATCACTCAGAACTTTAATGGTTGGCTTAGGTGCCGAAGGCTTAGAAATACATAAAAAGTGACTTAGCTCTTATACTTGCCATTATATCGAAACAGTAATTTTTTTCATCTTCTTTTGTACATCTTACCTTTTATGGAAAACCCATTCTCCTTCTCCAGCCGGCTTTTTATCTTAATTTTAGTTATATTTTCATGGCGTTTGTTTGTTTTTTGATTAAGTGAAATTGCCTTCTTTGTGCTACTGACATTGCATAGCCGGTAGGTTGTTGTTTCATTGATGCTTGGTGAAGGGTTAATGTGTCCGCATAATATTATCCTATCCTGTCCAACACTCTTTAAACTTTCAAGTCAAATATGTTTGTTTCGACGAACTGAAGCTGAGTATCTCATGAATGTAAAATAATATCATCAGCATCAGGCATCTTCTTTGCTTACCTTCCCTTTTTACTTGCCACGTAGTTTATTTTCTTTTCTTTTCTCTTCACTTTTTTTTGATTCCTTTGTTTTGTTTTCTTCAATTTCCTTTCAGACTCAAGTGTTATTGAAGTTTTTCATTCGTTTTGACTTTTTTCCTGTACTCGCACACATAGGCTGGCTGAGGGTTAATGTGGCTTTTATCATTTTATGGGGTTAATTTAAAGTGTTTTTGTTTGCTTTATGAGGTGCCTTTGCTACTTTAACTAATTCTCAAGTGTTGAGATATTTTTATGTACTTCGGGGAACCCTTTTGTGGATTTTATTTATGGAATTTCAACGCTTGTTAAAATTTATATTTTTGTTAAAACATTCTTAAGTAGGGTTAACCATTTCACTTTAGATTTTATGGATTAGCAATGTAAGTTTGCTATTTTGCATTACAAAAAACTCAAATAGATGAAACTAAAAAAAATTTTATGAGTGAATATTATAGTTGTTTTGTAGATTTTTATATGATTTACCACTTCAGCACTCATAAATGCAAGTTTTAATATAAAATAAAGACATCATGCATACACTTAAACCAACTTCACAAGTGCTTTCCTTTAATCAGAGGGCTACATAAAATGAATTTATTATGATTATAAATATTTGAAAGGCGCATAACATTTCAACAGTGTGATCCTGTGAAGTAGCGTAACATATAGCAACAAGCCAGACTTTTTTAGTCCTTGTCATAAAAAAGAAATTGTAAAATTTTTTTTTTAAATTTATCTTATAATAAATCTTTCGGTTGCACATATAAAATAAATGTATAAAATAAATGTATAAAATAAATATATTAAATTTATTAAATAATAATAATAAGCAAAAAATACTTAGAAGTTAAATAAAAAAGTTGTCTCCATGGAAATATTCATTTGAGACGGGCACTTCTTATTTCACACGAAATACTTGAGATATACTCGTGAATGTTTTACTTACTACTTCAAACAAGAATTCATTGAATTGTTAATGATAGTTAAACGGGTTCGAATAGAAGTGAAAAAACAACAACAAAAATTTTTGCTAATTTATTGAAGTTTGACTGACCATACAACGCTGTTTCGAATATACTCAACATCAGTTATCTTAGGGAATATTCGACTAATATTAATTAAATAATATTAACTAATATTAATTATTTTGTAGTCCCTATATAATTTGTTTGGACTGCCAAGTTTACCACCCGTGCTTGTTAAATTAGAAGCGACGTCTAAATGTGTCTTTCCACAAGTAGCTAAGACAGAGCAAACAATTAATGCTCAACTTCCAAGTTTTTTGTCACTTTTTTATTTTTTAAGTGATACTAACCAAAGCACTTGTTTTTAATTAGAACGAGCTTATAAACTGCAGCTTTATTTGAATCACAAGATCAACGTATTGAAAGTTCATTCTTTAA